GCCTTAGGGATCCACCCAAGCCTTCCTCCCCCTTAGCTCCTCTCCCATCAGCCCTGTTTCTAGACCATCCTCTCTCTTCTCATTGAAACACCCCTCCCCATCGCCCCGCTCCAGAAATTCTCTGGTTTGGGCGCTGGCTCGGAGAGATTTAGAAGTTCCACATTATTGACTTCATCCCTGACCTCATCTCAGGGCCCAGGGAAGTCAGTTGCCTTTCCCCGAGTTACACAGCCAATCAGAGACCAAACTCCACCCTCTCCCAGTTCTCAGATCTCTGGTGGAATTCGATTTTACTCCTCTTGCCAGAGGGCCTAGCTTGGCCATGTTTGGAGATGGTGGGCAAGCTTCAGGCTCAGAAGTGTCTGCAACTCCAGGGATGGTGGCATTTTGAAGACCGACTATGTGCTGAGTTGGAGGTAAGACTCGTGGGCTGTAAACCGGAGGATAGAGACTTAGCACAGTCGTCATGACATCCCCAGGTCGGAGGACATAATCAACCAAACTCAAACCCACTGCTGTGGGGTCACTTCCTTCTCATGACATCCCCCACCCCTACCCTACCCCAGGGCTTTCTTGGCTGGTGGTGCAGTGGGCTTCAAACAGCCAGCTTGGTGGTCCAAACCCACCTGGGAGCACCCACCTGGTGCTCCCTGGGAGAAAGAGGAAGCTATCTGCTAACACAAAGATGCAGTTCTCAGAAACCCTGTGGACCAGTTCTACTCCCTCTGAAAGGGTTGCTGTGAGTCTTTATGGGAGTGGGGTGCCACGCCTTCCTTCTTTGGCACTGCTGGGTGGGTTCAAACTCAAGCTAGCAGCTTAGTGCAAGCTGTCTGTACCACCCAGAGGCCATCTAGACAGAACAGGTGGTCAGTGGATGTCTGTTGAGTGAGTGAATGAATGAGTAAATGAATGAATGGACACATCCCATCAGTTGAGGATGCTTGCCCACGCCTGCTCTTTGCCTCTTCGACCCCATTGCTGTCTTTCTTCCCATATCCTAACCTCAGCTCCATTTGCCCTCCGGCCACCTCTCTTGGTTTCTGGCCTTCTCAGAGGACCACGTTGTTGGGATTTTCCAGCTGACAGGGTCTCTCCAAGCACTCTAATGACCATTGTAGGTCGGTGCTTCCTCTGTGTCAGTGATCTGCTTGTGGGACACTTCCAGAAGGTTCCAGAAGGCAGGTAGTGGAAGGTTCCAGGTGGTAAGTACGGCTTGGATGGGTGTTTTCCAAAAATGGAGATGGAGTGGTGATGTAGTGAGAGAAGGTGAGGTGTCCTGGGCCCCCCAGAACCAGAGTGTCTCTCCCTACTGTCCTTCCTCCCCACCTGCCCTGTGCCTCCGCTCACCTCTTTTGTCTCTGCATCTCTGAGCTCATCTTCCCTCCAGTTGGGAGCACCGACACCTGCCCAGGTGCACCTGTGAGTGACTCCCCTGCCTGTGAAGGATCCTAGTAGCCAGCGCTTCTTTGCATCTAATGCATCCAGGAGCCAGCGGAGACAGGAGCTGTGCAGATGTCCACCCTGTGTGATGGCCCTTAGTGACAGGTGACAATGGCCACCTAGGGATGTTGGATTGCTTAAAAGGTGCTTGGAAACCTCCATTTTCAGGAAAAATCTCCTGTTACACACACACACACACCCCACAGTTGTAATTTAGTCGTTTCTGATCCACAGCGCCCCCAGCCGTGTCAGAGTGGAACTGCACTCTACAGAGTTTTTCCAGGTGGGGCTCTTTGGAAAGGTATTGCCTAGAAAGAAAGATGCCTCTAGGTGATTTTAAAGCACCAACCTTTTAACAAGGGGCCGCTTAACCGTTTGCGGCACTCCGGCTGCCATGGGGTCGGTCCCCAGCCCCAGCGACCTGGTGTGCATCAGAGTAGAATGGCGCTGTGTGACCTTCCAGGAGCCGACAGCCAGGACTTCCTTCTGAGGCGCCTCGGGGTGCTTTGGAAGCGCTTAGACGTTTGCACCACTCAAGGGCTCCCATGTGAAAATGCTTGGCATCACGTTCACACTACATGCTGTCTGCCCACGGACCCGCCCACTGGCCCAGGGTTTCCAACCCTTCTTTAAGAATGAACTTCAAAAAAAAAAAAAAAGAATGAACTTCTACGTGCCGCAGGAGGGTCTGCTCGCTCCATGAAGACAGGGAGAAATGGGTCCGGTTTGCTGTGTGTGGCTTCTCCAGTGCGTGACCCTTGCTGGCCCCTGGGTTATTGACTGAGACCTTAGCCACTGCACTGCCTGGCCTCCTAGGAAGGTAGGTGCTTAATAACAAAATTTAAATGTGCATATAGTGCTGTCTCATGAGTCATTGTTTCAAAAAGAATCCCCATTTTACAGATGAGGAGCTGAAGGTTCAGAGGGACACAGCGTCAGTGTGGTCCTTCAATTCACCATCTGCCGGTGAGTGAGACTGATTGGTGGTGACCCTACGAGTGCCAGATGGATGGCTGCTTTGTCCTGAAGACCCCCAGCCTTTTCTTCCTAGGCCCTGGGTGGATTTGAACCTCCAGCCTTACAGTTCATGGCTCAACCATCTGTGGCACCTGGGAGACCTTCCAAGCTGTACCCTGGGCTATCTCGGCCCTTGTGAGGGTCGTGGATTTGCAGAACGGGGGTATTGGTAGTGGTGGTGTCGTTTGTGGGATTCCAGGTAGCTGTGCAGTATGGTGGTGGTGGTGGGAGGGGGTCCCAATTCTGTTATTTGGATGATTGGCATCCTGGGAGGTAGACTGGGAATGCTTTCACCCCCCCAGATATGCTTCTTGCTCTGGAGATTCACCCAGGCCAAGGAGAATGATCCACCCTTCCCCGTTCCCCTCCTGCCCCGCCCCACCTCCCCTAAGTTGCCCGGAGCCCAGGATGAGGGTGAAGGTTCGAGGAGGAGGGAGAGGGGAGGGGATGGGTTAAGGAGGAGTGTGATGTCAAGCAAAAAAGACAACATTAGACACAGATGCTGAGATGGCGTTTATCGTGGCAAAAAAAGGTGAAGTCGCCGAGGGTGGGGGGGAGGGGTGTGGTGGGGGGCCGGGGGAGGGGCCATGGAAGCTAATACATGGTGCACTAGGTCACAGACGGACACTGGGGGTGGGAGGGTGGGGTGGGCGTGGCCCAGGCATGGCAATGGGTGGAGGGAGGGAGGAGAGGGCAGTGGGCCCGCTTGGGGCTTCACCTTCTTAACCTAAGGGCCGAGGCGCCCCAAGAGACCTTTTGAGGTCCTCCAACCCCAGCGGAAAGCCCTCCCCACTGGCACCGGAGGCAGCCCATTCCGACTCGTAGCGCCCCTAGGGGCCAGAGTAGAACTGTGCCGTAGGGTGTCCGAGGCGGACCTGTTTAAGGGAACCAGACAGCCACCTGTTTCTCTCGTGAGTCCTGCTGGCCTCTAGGCTTCCTAGGAAGGTCCACTAGTTCCCGCCCTTTTAACCAGGCGAGGTAAACAAACCTGGGAGGACGCAAGCTCAAGGTGCTAGCAAGGATTTAGCTTTGCACACTCTCTGCACTGCCCCTTCGTTCCCTACCTAGTCCGGCCGGGGACGGAGACCAGAGAAGCGAGTGCCACCTCCTTGACTCCACCCTGGCCTAACGGGGTGTCCGAAGGGAACGTGGGGACAAAACCCATTCCGCAGATGGGGGAAAT